CAGTGTTTCTGTTTTCTTCCATCTCTGTCCACTTCATTTACATGTTGAGGTCAGTAGGGAGGTTTTAATCATCTCAGCATTTTATAGCAAAGTATTTCCTACTGATTTTTTTTTTAATGATTGATATTAGAGTGTAGCACTAACCCCAATTCTTGCAAGGTTCTTTAAAATGATACCAAACTTGGTGTTCCCTAACAATCTGTTTTTCAACACTTTACCATAAAAGAGAGACTGTGCTGGATGGTGCAGTTTCCTCTCCGTCTGCTGTGTCCTTACCTCCATGTTTAGGGGAGGGCAGGTGAAACGGTGCATTAGATTTTCCAGAGTCATATACTTCATTGTTGAGCTGTAGGTTGTTACTTCAATGCTGGCTATGAGATGCTGATGTAAAATAGTGAGCTTTTTCCTGCACTTTAAGGCTACTGATATGAACTGTTGGGCCAGTATTAGGCATTATATTAAACAACTCTAATCAGTATCTGGGACATCTGGATCTAAAAGTCTGCAGTAGCTAATGAAGCATTAAGTTCCTTATTATCCACTGTCCAGTAATAGAAGAAATCAGTCTTACTTGACGCTTTGTTTTTCAAGTGAGTACTTCTTGCCTTATGCCGTATCCTAGAGGGTCCACCTTTTATTTAAAGAGACCTGTGGTCAGCAGAGAGGTAAACAAAGTGAAGCTGTTCTGCTTACTCAGGTAGAAAATCCCCTTGAGGTTGTGCTTTTAATTGAACAAGATGCCTCTAGAGAAGCATGGGCCTGCTTTTAGCACCAGCCTTTACACTCTGTCAGAGCTTGTCTCATGACTCGGTTTGATGCTTGCATCCATTAAACTTCTTGTCTTGATTAATCATAGATAAGTACAGTGGAGCATTTTGATCGCAGATGTGTACTTGCATTTTCCGCGACCTTTAACCGAGATCTTGGGAGATAAAGTCAGATAGTTTGAGCTGAATTTGGACAGCTCGCTATTCATGTTTACTGAGCCTTTTAAAACTGCGGCAGCTCTGTCCAACATGACTTGAAATGTCACAGCTGTGTGGGATGCACTAACTGGCAGGATAGATCTCATCTTCGCCCTCGCTGCAAGTGTGGAAAACATTTTTCGCTGTCATAATGGTCGAAAAGGTGACGATTCAAAATATCTATGTTTCCATTCCTCCTTCTTCTCTTTGTTTGTGCTCCTTTTCTTTTGTATGAGACAATTCCTGTCTGTCTGACCATATATATGAAAGTACTATATCCTGCGAGGTCTGAGATTCTGATTAGATCAGGTATGCAGGTAGTGGCGTTGACTTTATTTTGAAAATTTTAATGGTGTTGGGTACAAAATCAGTCAGTCGTTTTTTGGCAATAAGTTAGTTTATTGGTGTCTGGTGATTGTTAAACAATCAATGCAGTGTTAGTCCAGCTTGTTACCTAGCAACCCAAGCTGAACTCCAGCATGTTTGGTCAACTGGTTTTCTCTGTATGTGCTGTACAATTGTTCATGGAAAAGACAAGTGTTTTGTTGTTGACTTACCATTCAGAAACTACTTTCTGCATTCATGTTGGTTTTACAGCTCCACTTCTGCTTTTCAAAGATGTATGGTAATTGTGCATCTGTTTGCAGCCTTTTTCATGTGAGTGTAAACGTTGAGTTGGGGGGTGTGGATTTAAAGTGACCAGACGCTCTAAACTAGCTCATCCTGCAAGAAACTTAAAATGGTACAGAACTGACTAGACTCAAATCTCATTATCTAAGAATTATTTGTTCAAAAAATGTAATGGACATGCTTCATATAGCCCTCTAACATGTTTAAGAATAGAACACCTTATTATGTGGGTGTTACATGATAAAACATAAAAATGTAGCGCTATGTTTCTGCTTTATCTGGTAATACTAGGAGTAAATTAAAGCAAACCTTTTCATGTTTTCCTCTGCCCTGCAGGCGCCCTTACGGTTGGTCTTGTCCGGCAGTGTCAGACCATACACGGACGAGAGCGGACCTGTATCCCGCCGCGACTGCCCCCTGAGTGGGTCACTACGCTCTTCTTCATCATCATGGGCATCATATCCCTCACAGTCACCTGCGGACTGCTAGTTGCGTCGCATTGGCGCAGAGAAGCCACCAAATATGCCCGCTGGATTGCCTTCACTGGCAGTAAGTCAACAAAATTATATTACAAATATTAAATTATGTTTCTCAGGGAACTAAAGTTGAATTACTTGAGAAAATGTAAATGTATATAGTCTTGATCTTACGGGAAAATTCATAGAGGATTGCGGCTCGTTTGGTGCATGTGTAGGCGGACAATATAACCGTAGCTCTTCTTCTTTCCCTTAAACTGTAAAGATTTCTTTTTTTTCTACAGACAGTATTTCTGTATAGATGCACTCGCAGCACACCACAACAACTCTTCCATCACATGCATTGTGCCTGGGCTGGTGTTTACAAAGCTGTGTGGGTTGGTGGAATTTGATTGGTCAGTCAGTTCAGGGAAGCGGCAGCTTCGAGCACTCTCACACTGATGGAGCAGTGGTATGTGAAGCCACAGTGGCTCCCTTTATTGTCTGAAAGCTGGAGGCATTTTTTTTAAATGGCTCAGACACAAAAAGGAAAAACAGCCTCAGGATTTGCAATAGGAAAACATTTAGGTGAATATTTGTTCCCTGCTAGGTCTTGTGCAGTTTAATATTTTTTTTTCAAACACTCCCTCATCACCTGGTAAACTAACACTCTTTTATATCCCAAGTTAAAGTGTCGTGTAACATAAATGTTTTTTTAGAAGCACTGAGAACACTCCAAGAAACTCAGGAAGAAAGGAAAAATGCGCAAGATGGATTTGATAACGGAGAGTAGTTTCAACCTGTTCCCATCTCACTGCTCGGATACAGCAGAATTAGATTTGATTGAGCATCTGCAGCAGTGGTTCCCAGCTGCAGTGTGGCAAGGTTGTCCCGGTCCAACACACCACATTTAAATGGTTGAATTTGCTTATTTGTTGTTTCTCTTTGCATAGCACTTCCACTAAACAAACCTTTTTTAATTTTTATCTTAAACTCATGGTCATATTTGTCTTTTTTTGCCTGTTGCTACCACATTTTAAGCGGTAGCTTTTAGTTTATTTATTATTGACGAGCACCATTCATGCAACCTCACAGTTATGGGGCGTCTGAGCAACCAAGGAAGATTATGGTCCCTCTCAGACAAACACAGATGACAAAATTTGTTGAGTGGGTATCTGGGTAGATGAAACATATTAAATTTTCTTCTTTTTTTTTGTTCTTTTGATTTTTTTTTTAGACGTGTCAATATATATGACAATAAGGAATTGACAGATATCCCTAAAACATATTCTGCTTTATGAAACTAGTAGACTATTACCACTCTGATTTAGATGTTACTTTGAGCTTAGCAACACAAAGATTAAACAACTGCTAACTTACTTCAAGTCAAACTGAAGTAGTAATTGTTACTTTTGTATTAGCTGCAGTTTCATAGTGCATTAAAACTAAATAAAAAAAAATTAAACTAAGATTTATAAAATGATCTAAATGTTTTAATTTCAGACAGAAAAGTAACAGTTATCCCTGTTGTCAAAAGATAACATGTTGATTATTGAAAACATTTTAAATATTTATATCATTTTGAATTTGATTCATGGACTTGAGCCAAAATATGGATTAATTAATCACTAAACTAGTTACTTATTGAGCAGAAAAAAATATTATTCTTTTTACAGTTCTGCACTCTTTAAAATGACACAAGCTTAAAAAGCTTTCAGCAGCTCGATAACTAGTTGGGCTATGTGCTCAGGTAGCCACCATGCAAATGGCTGCTTAACTAGCTATAGCAGTTTTATCCTAACAACAGTGATTGTTGGTGCTCCTTTGGTTTATATGTCATTAAAATATTTCAAAACGGCCACATTTGTCTTTGAAAGTCGCAGAAAAGTGAGTCAGCCTTTTTTCAGCCAGCTGGTCAGCAGTGCTCTGCTGCAATTGGGGGTTCTGCATGACTCTGTTGCACTCTGCTCTCAACGGCAGCAGAAACTTCTGGTCATTGTACGATGAAAAGTTTTACAGTTCTGAAATGTAACGTTTGAAATGATTCAGTCCTGGCCTCTGTTGACATTGCACAGCAATTTAAAAACCCCTTTTTAGCTGTGATGATTTTCAATTCACTATCTGTATCTTTGTTCTGCAAATGTATTCAAGTGCAAAAAAAGTGGAGGCGACATCACAGTCAAATGATTGTTTTATTTTTTTAATATGCCTTACTGTCATGGTGAAACGAGTTGAATTTCTTCCTTAATGTGAACGTCTTCATGCTTGATTTGCTTTGTTTGCTGGCCAAAGATTCTGCAATTAGAAAAGCATCAGTAACATGACAAGTCAGATGTTCTGAGCTAAAATGATATTTACTTTATAGCCAGATTATGCAATCCACTGTTAGACAAGGGTGGTGTTTTGTAGATGTACTATAAACCTTCACGCTGATTAGGACCCCTCCGGGTTGTTTGGTGGGTAAGATATGAGCTGAACACAATATTTTTTAGTACCCTGCTTTGTAGTGGTAAAACTGCTTCTAAATTACATCAGGTTTGTCTTTCACATTTTTTTTATTTTTATTTATTTACTATTTGACAGATTTATAACACACAGCGCCGTCCGCAGAGATGATTGCCGTTAAGAGACGCATTGTCTTGAACCGCACACTAACAAGTAATGTAGCCGTCATGACTCCTATTAGCAGGACCGCTGCTTACTTAGGCATGTTTTAAGTCATATTTTCTGTATCACTTTATTAAAGATAGGACAGTTTTTACTGCTTTAATGAACTAACCCTTTAGTTTTTAACTGTCTTTCAGGAATATACTAATCTGCTCACTTTAGCTGACCTGCTAGATTTTATGTAGATAATGATTTAGACCATCTTGCCTCAGATAACATAAAGTTAGGCTTTCCTAAATTCTCTCTGAATTGTTGTCATCCTGAAAGCCATCTGTAGATACTAAAACTTTTTTTCTTGAGCTTTATGTGGTTGGAAAATACCTTCAGGCTTGAAAGAGACAAAGGCCAAATTCAAAGCATTGAATTGTGAAATCAAACTTCTTTTAAGTTTTGTTTGATATATACAATATTAGTATAACAAATGAATGTAGCATAGTAATGTGATTGTGCTATGAAATGCCACTTTGTGCCTGGAAGATATACATTACACCACCTTTAAATATTTGATAGTTGATAATAACTTTGTTGATATGGGACAATATTGACTTGTTGTTAACTACCCTTAAACATGGTTGAGTTTTGAGTATTACAGTGAAGTTATTACAACATTTAATGTTTTCTTGGGATGTGTTTTTACTCTAGTAGATGAAATGGAAACAAAGAGGGCCTGCACCCAGAAAATTAACCTTGCTCCTGCAAAATGGTCTCTGAAGTGGAAACATGCCTTCTGTGTGTAAAGTCCATAAAATCTGAAGGATGACTGGGCAACAACAACTGTACTGTAGATTAACCAGCAGCAAGCGTGCAAATTACCATGTGTCATCAGTTGAGGCTCTTAAGATGTCCAGTAGATCACGAAAAGTGCACTGAAATTAAACCTGAGCAGAAGCTGAAGTTGTATTTTCCTAACTGTTGGCTTGTTAATTTCTCTCATCCACAATGTTTCCCTTATTGTTCATGAATTTAATCATTTCCAGAGTGGTGATAATTAAACAAATGAATATAAATGTGTTTCCTTCTAATGTCTGTGTTGCTTCTCATGATGTAACATGAGAAACAACGTTTTTCTTTTTTACAGCATTTTTTTTTTTTACAATATATAAAAGTAAATGAATTTTATTTTAATGATGGGTAAACGGTTGTTGTAAAAATGTATTCAGAGTACAGTGCATTGTAGAAGTTAATACTTCTAAATATTTTAATTTGCAGAATTAAAATATTTTGAGGGGGATTTTATGTTCAGAACAATAAAACCACAAAAATAATTCATGTTTTTCAACAAAAATAAATCAAAGCGTGTACAGAATACACACACACACAATCTTTGCATTACATTAGAATTTTTTATAATATTGACAAACATTGAGATATTTGAGTATTTTCCTCTTTTCGTCATCTGTGCTTCCATCATGCTGTCGTCTTTAGCATTTTGGACAGTATCGTGTCCTGTGTGAGTCTGGATGGATGAAATTCCCGCTTCATTAAAACTGCTTGGATAATATTTCTTTAGCAACTTAGATTGATAAAGTTCTAATTTAAACAGTGAATGCAATGCTTTCAGCTCTCAAGCGTATATTTTCTGGTTAATTTGAGCTCTCTGTCTGAAAAATATAGTTTAGGGAGAGAAAAGTTATTCATGTAAAAGTAGATTTTTCATCCTCAGCTTCTCTTTACATCCATTCGCATAAAGATTTTGCTCAATAATGAGACTTTCATTAAGAATTAATGCCTCGTACTGGTTAAAAGGTCAAAGTTCAGCCTCATGAAAGCATTTCCCACCTGCATTGACTTTGCTATGAGATTAAATAAAACGGTGTGGCTCTGAAGCAGAGCAGACGGTGAAAAGCTGTTCAGATATCATCTATTTATTTTTAATTAAATGATGGTATGTTGTACGATAAAACCCCATTGATTCACATGATGGTTTAATTTGCTGCATAATTGACTTGTGAAAGCAGGAGTAAACGCGCTCAAATATTGCTGTGGCTTTATTAATGTAAAGACTCAAATAGAAAAGACATTTAGCAGAAACTGAGAAATCACTGAGAGTTTAAATACTTTGAACTGCAGCCGAATATCCTTCATCCTCACAAATAAACACATTAATGATTTGTAGAATAAATATCACAGTAATATGTATTCCTCAGTGAGTTTTGTGAGTAACAGTTTATTTTCTGTAAAATCTATTTGAGGAAATGATATTTTTCCTAATTTCATACTACAATTATGGAAAGCTGCTTTTTCATAAATGTTTAAATTTGAATGAAGCAGCTCTTCAGTGATTTGTAAACCCTATCAAGGATTTGCCGTTTTTTATTTCTCTTTATGGTCTCTTCCCTTGCCAGCTTCTTCATGAGATTTGATTCATTTTTGCTGCTATTAATGAAGCTTCATGCATCACCAAGGGTTCTTTTTCACAAAAATTAGATGAGGCATCGATGCAAAATGGTTTCACATGAAGTCTGTGTCAGGCGAATTTGTAACATTTTGAAGAAGCTTGGTTGGGATTTAACATTATATCACTGACACTTCCTTCTTTGACTTTAGCTGAGCTGTTTTCTTGTAAAACCTGACATGCTGGCCAGTGCTAGATGGCTTCTGAAAGCTGTTTCGTGGTAAAACATTTTTCTCAATTACTTCTGAAGTCAAAGGTGGGAAAAAATGAAAATATTTTTTAACTTTGTAGTAAAAAGTGAAATGATGTAACCTATGAATAACATGAGGTTTTTGTTATCAGTCTCGACTGTGACTGTGTTTTTATTCTGCAGGTATTTGTGTACATTCAAAAACATCACTGCAAAGCTTTCCATCTTTTGAGTAGGGAAAATGTCTCTGGAAAGGTTTCTTCTTTTACATCATTTGTAAATGATTAATTCATTAATCCAAAGCATCAATATTTTGCACATAATTTGTGGTGAATTCTGATTTTCTTTTTTTACCAAATCCTATTCAGCAACTTGTTGCAAGAAGATGCTCCATAGGCACATAAAGTTCACAGTGAAGAGGTGAAGACCCACTTTTGTAGCAAAGCTAAATAAAACCGGTTGCAAAGTTGCATCAAACATACAATTTTGAATTCTTCAAATTAAATGGTATTATTGAACATCTTTTCAGTCCCTCCAGGATTTCGTGATTCTTGTTGTAATTTCTTGTGTTTGTGGTACTAATTTGGAACTATTTGCGTTTATTTATGATAGTAAATGCAACTTTTTATTACTTGCTGTATAGATCATGGACTATAATATGACATCAATTAAGGCAGAGGCTTAAGTTTTACTTAACTTACATTTGACGAAGTTTACCTGCATTCATAAAGTTTTGTAAAAAAAAAAACAAAAAAAAAACTAGGAATAATTCCTGAAGAAGTGGTAATTTGCTTCATCATTTCTTCCACCAGTACCACTGACTCCAAAACAGCATGATGCTGCCACTACCATGCTTGTGAGTTTGTACTGAGCTTCTGGGGTTGAAATCCTTCACTCTACTGCAAAGCTTGACTCAAGCAACTCTACTGATTCTGCCGAGAAATATTTTGAAGGTGTTTCTTTTCTCTTTTAATGAATCTAAGCCTAAAAAAACCCCTAAAAACCAATCATTTAAATGCATCTTAACGGCCATCATGTGTACAAATCTTATATAATTATCTTTTTTTTTTCTTTGCTAAATACAGCCAGTGATTGCATGCATGCTGTGCAGAACCCTCTGAGTTGTTTTTAGTTTATCTCCACAGGGTTCATTGCAGACTCCCACAGCAAACACTGGGAATGCTGCTTCCAGAGTGCAAGCTCTCTTCATTTGGAGACATTAATCTTTAATAGATTTTTACATAATGAATCATTCCTTGGACTAGGAATCCGCATCATTCTACAGTCACTATTTTCAGCTTTCGGTTCAACTGAAATCGAACTAAAACCTTGTTTAATGTGAAAAACCTGTAGAAAATAACAGTATTTTTGAGAATATTTTATAGACATTGCCTAAGTTTTCTCTATACAGACTCTGCGTGAAGGTTAAATCTCTCCTGATTCAGTTTTGATTGAGCACAGAGCACGTTTTATGGTATATCTGTTATAGACACATTCAGTTTTTATTCTGTGTCATATTTCTGATTTATTTAATGCTTCTGCTTGACGTTATTCTCAAAGTACCGTGTCGATTTTCCCATCTGAAATATTACCAACAAAAGAGTGAAGGACGCCTCTTAGCGCTGCTTTAAATCTCTCGCTCTAAGCCGTCCTTCAAGGCAGGTTTCACATTCAGTATCAGCAAGTACACTGAACTCCCAAGTTAGAAAGAGCTCATCTTTTTAAAATCCTCCTACAGACAACTGCTGTTTAAATGATCTCTTGGTGAAATATGAAACAAGCAGCGATGTTGAGACACACAATCAGTTTTGAACAACTAAAATTACATGAATGCCAATTTAATCTCTCCTAGTCTTCTCCATGTATTCAGGAAGGATTAATCATGTTTAATTTAGCTAAATTTGTATCTACAGTCTAATCTCAGACTGAAAATTGAGATGCCTTTTTGAACAACCTTTTATCTGAGTACATTTATTCAGCAGGAGAGAAAAAAATCATGTTAGGATATAATTATTTTTAATAAAAATCACTGTTGGCATAATACTTTGTCTCCTCTTGTAATATTTTACAAACTAGGAGCAGACAGAGAGACGGATCTTTGATCATTTCTTTTATTTATTTATTTTTATCTTCCTTACCGTCATTCTCACTTTTGCGTTGCAGTAAAATAAAATGGGGGTCCTTGTCGAGCCAGTAACTAAAAGAATTAGACTTTGTTTAATATTTTAGTTATATCCCAGAAAGTCATAAGAAGTTCCTAGAAACTCTGATAAACCAAAATAACAAGGTGCAAACAAACTATGACTTACATTTTTAGTGTTAGTTAATAGTCATAGCATGTTCAATCATTTTATTTTATAGCTTTTTACACATCTTTTCTAGCTGTGACAGTAAATGTTGCCTGCACTTGGAGTGTTGGAGCTTGGAGAGCCGAGTCTGGTCAGAATCTTATTACATGATCTGAACTATTTAGCCAAACAAAAGGATGTAGGGAAATAAAATGAAATGCCATATGACACAAACAATTAAATTTTATTTGCAAATTTTTGTAAGGATCTTAGTAATGTTACTGCTCAAGACTTTTCCAGTTGAAACCAGATCTTTACTTTTAAGATGAACTACTGATTCCTCGCTTTTTTGTTTTAGGTTAGTTGGCATCATCAGAATCATACTTTCTAAATGCCAGAGTGATAAAGTTTTACTTCAAAATGCTTGTATAACATTTGTTTTATTCATTCTAACATTTATTTTGTAAAGTCCAAAAGTCTCTCTTGAAGCAAAATAGCCACACAACATGATTCAGCGACCACCGTACTTCACTGTTGGATTGGTGGTCTGAGGCTTGGATGCTTCTTTCTTTTTCCTCCTAAATGAAGAACACACTGGTCATTATGGCCACGCACTTAAATTTTAGTTTCATCACACCACAGGAAATGTATTTGTCTTCCACTGTATTTCAAACTTTTTATGTTGCTTTTGGAGTAATGCATAATTTGCGGCCTGACTGGCCTTTCAGACCATGTTTATACAGAAATAATTGGGAGAGTTTTTGCTTTTGATCAGGGGAAGGAGATTATATTTTTTGCACCAAAAACATTTCTTCCATTCTTAGACATTTCCATGATGTTGATTGATGAATGCAATTGTTTGAACCAGGAATGCATTATGAAAATTTTGGGCCAATATCGATATTCAATAATAGTATCCCTTTAATGGCCATTCAATAATATTTACTCATATTTTTGTATGAAAATGTATCCAAGGATGAGGTTTATTATTGTCTTCCTGTTATCATGGATGATTTCTTTTGTTTTTTCCATGATGGTTGTCCATAGGTGCGACTATTTAACTCAAGCCCTTTTCCTGCATTCATAAAATATAAATCATTTTGACCTAAAAAATAGGAAATGTCAGATTTAACTGTCAGATGCTGAGGGGAAATAAAAGGTCGTGTGTTTTTAATGCAGCGTGAGTGAAAATCTGGGTTTAACTATAGCGAGAGATTGGTAATGTTCTTTTTAATAAATGATTCGGTTTAATAATTGCGTCCTTGTTCTCCTCCCTGCAGTGATCCTGTTCTGCATGGCAGCGCTCATCTTCCCAATAGGCTTCTACATCAACGAGGTGGGAGGTCAGCCATACAAGCTGCCCAACAACACGGTGGTGGGCTCCTCGTACGTGCTGTTTGTCCTCTCCATCTTCTTCACCATAGTGGGACTGCTGTTTGCAGGAAAAGTTTGCCTCCCAGGCTGAGGACTCCCCGACCCTGGCCTCGGGACTGTCTCCGGAGGCTCTGAAAGTATTACGGGATTTCCAAAACTACAGACTGAAAATCAAAAAAACGACAAACTTTTGCCCTCAAAACCCGAGACGGGGAAGGCGACGCTTACGTTTCAAGGGACCCGCAGCTCCACGGAGAACTACATAGAGATGAATAAATGAACAAAACACTAAAAAGGGGACATGAGCACAACAGGGTGGAGGCTGTCGCAGTTCCCTGCAGCTCACTGCTGATTTCAGATGCAGCCGATTCTCTTTCTCCCTCTGTGTTGTTGCTCTGATAGAATGGGTGCTTAATGTGCCGCTGTCATGGCAGCCGCAGTAACAACGATGGCACACATCTCCGAAGTACCACTACAACCACTCCTCGACTTGATTTCCAACCGCCCCTCAGCACACATTTGCTTCGTCATGGCCGCTTCTGTTGCTATTTATAGCTTCTCTGTGCTATTTTCAGTTTTCTGTTGTTTTTTTTTTTTGTTTGTTTTTTTTTCTGTACAATTTCTTCTTCTTTCCTTCTTCCGGGTCCCACCACCTCTCCGCTGAGGTAGCGTTAGCGTTATTGAGGTTCGCTGAACTGAATCCTTTAAACAGAATCGGGTGTGAAGTGTCTTTGTCTGCCATATTGCACGGCCCCAGGTGTGCGGCCGAGGAGAGCTGCTGTTACGGCACACACTTTCAGCCTGCTGTGGATGAGACGTAGATGCAGGTGTGCGTCCTCTTCATCTTATCCAGCCTGCTAGGCTACCAGAACAGGAGGTCAAGCATCATAAAGGAGAATGCCACTCAATCCAAGACCATGCATAGTGTTATTTCTGCAGGCAGCAAAGTAACAGACATCTCAGTTAAACCAGTCATTCTCTTGCACAGCTTCAACTATCAGCCATTTGAACACAAATATTTATGGCAACATTTACAGTGGACAAAATCTTCTCTAAGGCTGTAAATCTCTGCAGCGGTGAGATGGACCCCTATAATCTTGACAATACAGATTTTTTTTTTCCCCATTAACAAATTATGGAAACATGTAAAAGCTGATATTAAGTGGTATTCTCCTTTAACCTTTGATGATGGTGATAAAACGTGAGCCAGGGAAGGTTTTTCTGATCTTGTTTTGTATGACAGTGAAGGCACTGGGACTGCAGGTCAGGTCCATGCATGGCGCTGTGCCTCATAGTGCAGCTTGGCAGGTCTGTGAACGCAACACACACAAACACACCTTCACGCTGTCCGCACTGAAGCTGCAACAAGTTGGTTTGCTTCCATTACAACCCCCCCAAAAAAAATTAGTTTTCAAAAAAAAAAAAAAAAACATTTAAAAGAAGATTATACTTTTTAATGCGTTTTTACAAAAGAATTCACGCCTGTAGAAACTTCAGTGTTGTGTTGGGGAGATTTTTTTGTGAAAGACAAACACACACAGGTTCAGCTTTTAATATTCCTGCCGATTAAAAGCTTCCCCACATAACAATACTGCCACTGCCATGTCTTACAGTGGCTCTGGATGAGTATTAAGGCCAGTGAACGTCTACTCAGGTCACTTGTCTTTTGCACCCTAAATGACTTCCCTCTTAATTTTTCTTTATTTAGTCTGTCTTCCCATCATCTATTACTTACTTCCATGTCCCAGCTGAAGAAAAGCTGTTATCTTTGGGATGGTGTGTTCAGGGCATTGGTTTTCCACAACGACCAATGTTTCCATGTAGCCTAAAAAAAAAAATCTATTTTGATCCCATTCAACCAGAATTCCTTGCTCCAAGTGTTTGCTAACTGGAGACAATTAAAAAAAAAAGTTCAAGAGGTATGAATACCTTTGCAAAACGTGTGTCCTCCTCCTCCTAGCAGGTTTTAAATAAGTCCAACTTTGTCCTTTTGTTACATTTTATGCGTCTTTAGTTATTAAATTGAAAACAGAAAATTTCTCATATAAAGTACTTTCACACTGCAGCCTGAAACTTTCAAGACATCTTTCAAGAATCGCATGTGAGATCACACGTCTGCGTTCGCAGCAACAGCTTTCTTAGTCAGCAGTGTTCAAACGTGAATATGACGAGCTATTATTGAGAGAAAAAGAAAGCGTCGCGAGCGTGGATATTAATCAATATTAATATTTGACTCTAATGCAAAAATCATATATAATTTAAGCTCTTTGTAAAATAAAACAACAAAAAAAAAACAACAACATCCCATTGAGTTTTATTGTTGGACTTTCTGCTTCCACTACCTTTCTTCAGCTTAAGTTTATGCTGGGCTTCCATTTGAGTATTTTACTCAACTTGGACTGTCTGTGTCAGTAAGAGCCATTGCAGTTGAACTCAAGTCGTACTGCATCCTTACACTAATGCAAACACAGAATTTCTCACCTCCTGTGGCTTTTATTTATGAAAACAACGTTCAACTCTGAGTAGTCGTTGGGTTAAATAATCTAGAGTAGATAAATGGCTGATATCTGTTGAGATGGATTCAGCGTGTGGTAGGCCTGATCAATTACAAATAGTCACAAAATTACTCAAACAACAAACCACTATAACTTGCATTATTTTTCCATGTTCTGCTTAGGTAAATACAGGTAAAAAGATGTTTTCTACACCTGGAATATAATAAAAGCTTTTTAAAATGTGAGCTTTATAAAAATAGCCTGTCCCAAAAGCAAAACAAAGAGGTTTTCCGTTCTTTACAATTAAGTTCACAGTGAAATTAGACGAGGAGGAACGAATTTGTTGACGCAGTTTTCTGCCTGTGTGATGCAACACCTTTTAGGCTGTTTTCTTTGAAGTCTAGCAATATTTTCCTGATGGGTTCTTGGAGATTATATACAGCCAACTACATTTTTACCCCCGTCAGATTTAGATTTATGTTCCTCCTTGTTGCTTGATTTCACTTCCTGTTTTGGGCCTTTGGTGATGAGCTCCAAGTTTTTGACATTAGAAGGCCTCATTGTCATCACCCTAATCTTTAGCATCCTCCACAGATTCTCTATTGGAGAGAAACATGTTCATGAAATATCAAATAAAAAAATAAAAAAACTTAAAGCCTAAGTCTGCCATTTAATTAGAAGAAAATTTGCTACCTTGCACAGTATATTAAACTTTAGTCACCAATGCAGTAGCAATGTGTGCATCGTTGTAGTTACAAAGGACAGCCTGTATGCAGAATTTGGTAGGAAAAGCTATTTAAAGACCCTTGTCTGAAGTTTCTGTTTACCAAAAAAAAAATTAATTTATTAAAAATGTGTTGGGCTGCTGGGAATACTTTTAATACCATTGATGCACCCACTGAGATGTTAAAGGTCACAGAGAAAGACAGAAAATGTGGGCTAATCATCATTTACATTGTCAACACAATATTTGGCACTAGATTCTCAGACATATTTAAATGTAAAAAAAAAAAAAGATATATATATAGATTTTTAGGGGGGTAAAAAACCCAAAATGCCCATTTCAGTGTAAAAAAAAGCATATTCTGTTTCCAACCTTCAAGATAAATCAGGATGGATCGTTATAATTTCAAAACAAACTAGACTACGAGTTATTTTCTGTAATAAACAACCCTAATAACAGGACAGCAGATGCATATTTCTGCATCCGCCAACTTTTCAAGTGATTAATACATTAATTTTATCCTGCTAATGTTTTTCTCATGTGCTCGTTAATCATTGCACTTACAAACCTTTGCTCTGTCTTGCCTGAACATGCTTGCCCATGTTTCCATCTCAGACGTCGGAGTGATTTCTGTACGTTTCAAACTGAAGCTTCTTCCTCATCCAGACACTGATCATCTCCCATCAAATCACTGTTTGCACAGTAGATGGCTTCGTCCTCACAAAAGTCATTTATTTCTCTTTCATTATGTTTAAACACTCTAAATCTGGCATCATATAAGCTACCGAGACACAGATCTTTCATTCACCATGTGTGTTTGTGTGTGTTGAAGCAGTCACAGCCGCCCTGTTTGCTAAGTCTTAGGTATTTGTTTTCTATTTCTGTTTCCTGCTCGGCTTCTCTGACTCTCGGTCTGATGATGTGTTCTACTAAACTATACACTCTGCCTCTGGTTGGTCTAGTATTGTGCCATGACCTGTTTCTGTTTAATAATGTACAGACACAAAAAAGGCAAGATTTCTGTATTAGGAAGCACTGTGCGTTCAACAGTATAGGTAACAGACATAGAAGCACCACAAATGTATAAAAAAAGAAAAAAAAAAGAGAAAACTTCTTACCTCATTGTTTTTTTTTTGTTTTTTTTGTTTCTGCTATTATTTTCTAATGGTGGCAACGTGTGTGCCCTCTAATTTGTCTCTTGCCTTGATCGGATGTCTACACATAAAGCCTATGTTGATAGGAAATTATTTATCACTGAATAAAAAGAGAAAAATGGGTGTGTGTGACTCTGACACGGTCTGTTTTGTGCTCATTTAAAGCGATAACCTGAATGTCTTTTTTTTTTTTTTTGTTAGCCCATTTAAATAGAATCCCATCAAGAAGTTGTACATTATTGTGAAGCTGAAGGAAAGCTACACATGGGCTGTCGTATTTTTCTCAAATTAAAATCTGGAAACTATTTATTCAGATCCTAGACCTAATTCTTCTGTCTCATAAAAACAAATTTAAATTTACATTTGGAAGACGCTACATGTAAATGTGAGTGCACTTGTAGCTAAAACATGAGTATTGTTAAAATTTATAAACCTATATCTGAGTACTAATTAAATCAGGCACTGCAGATCGATCTTATCTGGATGTATTTATTCATTCCTACAAATCGAGCTCCACCATTCTGGTCATAGCAGCTGGATAACAGTTGGGTTTTTTTTTGGCAGATTTTTTTTTTTTTCAGGAAAAAAAAACATCTTGTTTTTTCGGCTGCCTTATTACTGAAAAACTGGCCATTATGTTATTGCTTCTGGCAGCGGTCACTGTTTCAGCACTATAAGCATCTCTACTGCTGTACAGAAGCTGAAAGAAAATGTCAAAATTATAGCATTTTCTGAAAATGCTCAAAACTCAGATATTTATTCTACCGCATTGTTCCTCAGCCATAATTGCAAACCTAGTCATTCTGAAGCTTTAGAAATATGCCTATTAGGAGAATGTTAACTGAGACGCATCAAAGAAAGATTTCCTCTTTTTTTTATTTGTATAGCTTTATAGATCAGACTTGGTAGTAAGTCAGCAGGAAATGGTTTTCACCTGCTTGTTGTTCTCTACCTGTCTGTGTGCAGCTGATGCCCACTGCACCTCCATTAGCCTCTTGAGTCACCTGAACCGCCAGCTTAGGCTTTTGTGGTGTGTGCATTAAGTTTTTTTAACACAGTAATCGGCTCCATTCGCTGCAAACTACTGCGAGCGTTTACCGGTGACGTCTCTCACAGCTGCGCTTCATTCCAGGGATTTAGATGTTTTCCTGGTTGATGGAGCCAACTGCTGACGGTGTTCCTAAAAACAGTAAACACCTCAGGAGCCAAACTCTCAGAAATCTATAGTAATTACTGATGCCATCTGCTGCTGCTGCTGCTGCTGTTAAAACCTGAGACTGGGATCTCCTCAACGTTCCTATAATCCTGAGCACCAATTATTTCTCAACACACGATGCCCCCTTCACCAAAGAAATCAGATTAAAGAAAACTTTTCGCTAAAATTGTTGTGTTGTTTATTTTATATAAGACTTATTACGTACATCTTATCAGACACAGCTGAGTCTCAGACCTCCCTCAGGTTTGATTCGGGCCATTATCAGTTTTTGAGGATTGTTTAATAGTCTGAAGTAGCCATTGGCTTTGTAGTGCACCATGATGGATCACTGCAATATGACTGATACAATTATGATCCCCCCTGTAAAAACAGTAAACCTTCTGCTGAGAGCTTCAGGTTTATAATGAGACATAAATCTTTTACTGCTGCCTTCGCTCAGTCATCTGCTGAGCTGAAGCCTCATTTCTTCACTGGCTTGTTTTGACCACTGCTAACATCCTTTCAGCTCCATAAAGCAGATGAAATATTTACTTTCTCTTCAGGCAGCTGAAGACCTCAGGTGCCTCAACGTGACGTAGGAATAGATGGTGTGTGTGGGTGGAGGCAGAGGCAGGAAATTTCTCAGTGTGCACTGGATGCATGTATTGCATAACATCTCTGTGTGTATATATATATATATATATATATATATATATATATATATATATATATATATCGTTTGATAAACGACAGTGTCAGTACTCTGCCAGGTGCAGTTAAATGAAAACATGGCTGCCATCTGTTAGTGAGAGGCAGCACAAAGCAGGCCTGCAGTGTGGAGGTCAACTTTTGTGACGATGGCATAATCTATCGGTCTATGTCCAATTTTCATTAAAATGCAAGTACAGGTGCAGAAAAAGAAAAATATCTACAAGACTCTTTCTGCAATTCAATTCTTTATCTAACACTTTAATTTCAGTGGTTTGAAGAGGCTTCTCACAAATTCATAAACGAGGTTTTAAAGGTTTGCTGATTAGGTTTTTAAATTCATACCCAGACCCATTCTCAAGGCCTATTTTTGGCACCGCTCTCCATTTATCTCCATCTATCTTCCCATCTCCTCTGAACCATGTTTCAATTTTGTCAGAAAGTTTCATCACAGTTTCAAATACATTTTTTCCTGACAAACACTAGATAAAAACAGCACAAGACAGACAATTAGCCAATGAAATTTAACACCTTTGAGCTGTAAGTTGTAAAGTGAATGATGTGATTTAATAGAGAATATTTTATCCAGTTTGAATCTTTTTATGAATATTTTCTCTTGAACTTTCTTTTGGTAACAATCAGTAGAAACTATGGATGAACTGAAGTCTCTGTGAAATCCCTTTCCATCCAACGATAAAGGAATCCGTGTAAAGAAATAATTTTTCTGAAGGATGCTCTAAAAATTAATTCCTCTCTGACATTATATTTCATATATCCTTTATCTGTTACTACGAGGCAACTATGGCACTGTGCAGCCAACTTTGTTTCTGATGACTACATTTAATCAGTTGAGTTAGCTAAAACTAAAATGTGCCATCAAAATGAACACAGTTTGAACCAGCCTCACTGTTGCACCTTTAGTAAAGTATTCCCACAGCAATATAAGGGTGATTTGTTCAAGATGATGTACAGAGTCAAGTTTCCTCCCCATAATGCTATTTTTTTTTTTTAACCAATTTTGGTCTGATCTGGATACAGTGTCTTTTCCTGGACAAACTTTAAACTTCCTCTCAACAGCGGCTTTCTTTTTGTCAGTCTTCCATTTGTAAATAATTGATAGTCATCCTCAGGAAGGATTCGCTCACTTGAGCTTTTGATCTGCAACTGTTTGCACTGGATTTCATGTAGGTGTGGAAGAGTAAATGGGGCGGACTCACTTTTCAACTTTTTTATTTGTAAAAGATTTTCCCACTTCATGAATATGCACCACTTGCTATCTTTTTTTTTTTTTTTTTAAAAAAAAAAAAAAAAAAAAAAAAAACAATTTTTATGGTCTATCAAATAAAAATGTGAAAAACTTTTAATTTCACTTTATAGTTAAGTCTCAGATGAAAATTATGCAAAAAACCTTTTTCATGTTTTGGTTCAAGCATGTTTTTTGAAACTCAAACTCCATATTATTTCCTAGTGTTTGTAGACCTGGATCATTATTTTCAGGACTCTGCATATAGTCTTTCATTAAAAAGAAAAGATCTTACTGAAAACTCATTAAATAGATACGTTTTAATCTTCAATATCAGCGAAGCCAGAAAAATGTTCAAGAATTCTTTCTGTCTTTTAGACTAACTCCGGCTTTCAAAAATGGCTTAGATATAAAGTCGTGAAAGAGAAACTATGAATGTTTATCATTTGAAGAAGCACCACATTGCTGTGTTTATTTATACAATGTACCAAAAGGGCCTGAATCCCATCGGTTTCATTGCTCCATTAATCTTAATACCATTAAAAAGCCTCAGTAAGTAGTTTAAGTGCAGTTTACACTCAAATTTGGAGCAAAGCACATTATTTGAAGCCTTGGGGAGGCTTTGATGTTACTAACTTTAGCTGGCCTCAGTACTGATTGATCTTAAAGTGGGCGATAGATGCAGTGATGTTCCCTCCTGGCCGGATGTCTGTATGCTACGTACGTCAGCATGGACCTTAAAGCAAATCTGCTGCTGAGGCAAGAAAAACAGAAAGCTGGGAGGAAAAGGCTTTTAGCGGAATGACCACAATGTTTGCAGAGATTCATCATTTCACCTTTGCTAAAAGCTGCAAAAGATTTCGTTTTTGAAAACCCGTTCCTACATGAATTCATATGCAATGAAAAGAATGAGAATAATTGTAATGCTCTTTTAGATTTGGATTAAGCCATTCTACCACAAGAATATACTCTGATTTAACCTGTTACTTTGTAGACCTGACTGTACGTTTAACATTGTTTTCCTGCTGAAATATAAACTTCTGCTCTAGCCTCAGGTCTTTTGTACCTTTTTAATTTTTTTCCAGGATCTCCCTGTTGTTAGCTCCTTCCTTCTTCTCTTTATCTATCAGCTTCCTAAATGAAAAAAAGCTTCTCCGCAGCTCAACGCTGCCACGTTTTAGCATAAGAATAATGTATTTATCTGTAAAACCGTTCACTTTTCCCTTCCACTTTGCTATTATATGTTAGCTTGTGTTGGTCTTCCACATAAAGCTCCAATAAATACCCCGATGTTTGTGATTGAAGCGTGACATACTTATTGAAGGCACTGCTTATTTGCAATTGTTTCCTTTACCAAACTGCACTAAACGTTTGGTCAATGTGCAGAGCCCAGTTTTATGTGATGACAATGTTGCAGCGCTAATTTATAACCACTGATCTACATCTGCAGCTTTGACAGATGCAACATTCTCATCTGGCTAATATGTCTATGACAGCAGCAGGCAGAGAGCTGACTCCTGCTGAGAGCATCAGAAGGATGCACAAAGATACGGCCTGCTGTTGTATGGAGTCATCACTACTGCTGTAAGAGCATCTAACAGGAAGAACCGTTAGCCTGTGGCTTCAGGTTTCCTTCAACCAAACCTCACATCTATGTGGATTTATATGTTGGATATGTTGAAGTTTTTACTTAAAAAAAACAGGTGAAAGTCTGACTCTAAAAAGCACAATTCTTGAATTATAAGTTACTCGTTGTCAGTATTTCTCAGCAAAAACACAACTTTTCTTTGTTGAAGTTTCATCTGAGATTGACAAAGTTCACTGCAGATCGGTGCTATGCAGTCTGGTTGCAAAGGTTATGATGGATCGTTCTTTCAGGCTTTAAAATAATCCGTCCGTCCAGCCATGACTTTGATGCCTACAGCGATTTTCTTGTGTAATGGACCGAATGTATTCAGAATCTCTAACATTCACAGTTGCACTGTGGTCTGTCTTAACATAAGAAGGCAATCTCTCTCAGACCACTGGAGCTGGATGTTTTTCAAACCTTCAGTGATTGACAAAGACAATACATCATCAACTTCTAGCAATTTTTGTTGTGAGGTTTTAAGACATATATATTGTAAATCTACCAAAGTACAAAAGATGCAGAAATCTCTCTATAATGCAGCCATGTTTACATATTTTCAATGTTGAAGCGTGACACACAAATAATTTGATTATGTAAGAATATTCAATAAAAAGACGTTGTAAGTCAATAGTGCATTTTTATGCTATGAAAACAATTTTCTATGCACACATCTGCGGTTTCGATTAAAATTAAAATTCTGTGTTTGAAGCACAATTTGGTGAGTTTTATAGTGACTTCGGCTTTTGCTCAGATAAACAAAAAGCAAGGTAGAATTTTAATTTTCTGATCCCTTTTGCCCACAGAGAGCTCTTGGTCATTTTGAAGAACATTCTTGCAGATAACTGCTGGTCAGTATTTGCCACACATGTTGCGGTTCCTAATATAATTTCACATTTCAATGTCCAGTCAGTTAAAGGTGCACTTCTCTGCAACTTTTTCCTTTTTTTAGTTGCCCCAGTAGCTGCTTTACCTTTTGCCCTCAATAATCCAACCTTTCGTCGTTCTCCTGCTGCTGATCAACACGTCTCCAATGGTTCTGCTGACACATGTCCTTCCCATTATTAACAGATCCTTGTTTTAAAGCTGCTCAGTTCCTTAAGCCAGCTGAGCCAGTGCCTGTGTGTTTGGTATGTTGTTTTAACAGTGGGAGCTGCACTGTCATGGCCCACAGGACCAAGCCCGCTGACCGGGGTTTATTTCTGCAGGGCCTCCCTGTTTATTTTCAAGAGGGTATTAATTTCTATTTTGATTTGCCTCTTGTGTTATTTTAGATGAGTCATTTGGGAATGTGTGGGCACATGTGAGAACAGTCTGTGCCTCGGCGAGAACGGCAAAACGCGCACACACAACAGGGACGACTGTGAATGTGTTTGTTTGCTCCCAAACATGCATATGATAATTTTATGTATCCTGCTGCGAAGAAGAGACTTTTGTTTTTCATCTGAAGTCAACAGACAGAGCAGATTGCTTGAGTCCGTCTTGTACCAAGATTTAAGAAACGGAGCTTTGCGACTATTACATAACAAATTCGCTTAGAGGATATTTTAAATACTTTGCTTTCTGTGAAACATACCATAATTTCTCTAAGCCAAATAAACATCATTACCCTCAAGATAGGATTAAACAGAAGAGTCCCAGAGGGAAGGCAAAAAATAAAATGTTTTAATACTTTATAATCTGCAGTGGAGTTAGCCTCGGACTGAGTAAATTAATTTTCTTATCAAACCAGAATGAATTCATAAACTGTGCAGTGGTGTTTAATTCACCTTCCAGCTCGAAAACAACACAAATATTTGGGTCTTTTTGTAGTTTTATGTTAAAAACAACATAAGGCAGATCATGATTTTGACTGGGCTGTGCGCATGAAAGAGCTCAGTTTTTTCATTTTAACCTCCTAAATGGTAATAAAATGGTTATAGCTTGACAAAATTAAAATCTGTTGTTTAGATAATGTGATTTAAAAAAAAATAAATCTTTTTGGCATTGATCAAAACAAACGGGATCACAACACACCCATTTAGTGGAGAAGCGTAACCACACCTCATTTTCACCTTTCTTTTATCCTCATCACCTTTTCCAGATAATCC